CACATTCTCTTTCTCTCTGCTCTGCCATCAAAGATTAGCAATTCTCTACAGCAAGGACAGAGCCATAGCATAAAAAAGTAAGTAGAATTAACACTGGGCAACATGAAGATGAGAGATATTTACTTTAAAGAAATGAGAAAAGAAAATGCTTTGGCACAATGTGTCAAGAGCAGAGCACTCTCAGAATAGTTATGTGAATGTGTTCTCTGGGACCTCTTCCTGCACAAACATTATACATTATGCATCATGTTCTGCAGATCCCAAGTCAAAGTAGCCACACAAAGGTGACACAGAGACAACTGGGAAAACACGGTAAACGCTTCAAGAGTGAAGGACCATAAATAGACCTAGTAATCTACTAGAGATGTAGTCAGATAACTCACAAGGTTCTGTAGATCAAGAATCAAAATAGCCATACAATGGTGATTCAAAGACAACTGAGAAAACACGGTGAGTACTTCAAGAGTGAGGGACCATAGACCTAGTAACCTACTGGAGGTAGTCAGGTGACTCACCCAGTTTTGAATTTGAAATTTTGCTTGTCTCAAAAAAGGAAAACATCAAAGTTAGATATGAAAGTCTATTCTTCGAGGACATCTCATTTTAGCTACAACACAACACAGTTTCCAGCAGACATCATCTGTTCTTGGCACACATTTTAATATTTACCTGTGTGATTATTGTTCTCACAGCATATAATTATGTTAGCCAATAAATACTAACAGATATCATTCAGTTCCACAGGAGTGAAGATAATTCAGGAGGAGCTGAAGCTCCTAATTAACTCTTGCTTTCCTAAATTAGAATAATTGAAAAGAATAGACTAGACCAACCTTTGATTTGAGAATGGAACAGACACACTGGAAGTACACTTCAACTTAATTATGAAATTATTAGGTTAGAGGTCATCCTAATTATTATTTTAACCTCATGAATGTTTGCTTTTTAATGAGAAAGTGATTCCTAAGGAACATTTTCACTTATGTGACTGATTTCATGATTTTTTACCAATAGCAAAACAATTAAAAATAAATGACAACCAAAGTCTTCATCTGGTTTTAGAACATACAGTCAATCAAAAATCTAAGGTTTGGGTCCCGTTGTATTCATATAGTAGTCAAAAATGTAAGTCATTTAGCAGCTAAGTCTTGGTGGCTCTGTCTGTAAACAAGTACACTCTCTGTGTCTCAGAGAGAAGATGGCCCAAGCGAGAAACCATGTGTATGTGCTTCACAATCAGTAAACTGCTGTCCACACTGTCAGCGACTGTGAGTTTGTTTGTACAGTAAGACAATTTAGACAATAAGACCACAGCTAAATGAACCAATCAAAATGCACTACTTTTTATGAGAGGCATGTATGGACATAGACCTAAAGAAGAAAGACTACATCAAGGAGAAATCTCCCAGCAGAGTTATTCCACACAACAGCATCTTTGTAGCATCTCTGTTACATAATGTTTTGATGGGGCATATCTCTCTCTCTCTCTCTCTCTCTCTCTCTCTGTCTCTCTCTCTGTCTCGTCTCTCTCTGTGTCTCTGTCTCTGTCTCTCTCTCTTCTCTCTTGTCTCTCTGTCTGTCTGTCCGTCTGTCTGCCCCTGCATACAAATTATAAATTCCAGTGTCGTGTTTTTATGGGATTCCCATGTCTCTGCGTCTATGTGGGTTTCTAATGCTTTATCTTCTTTTTGTTTGTTCTGTCCTATTCCACTTCGTATGTTTTTGTTTTATCTTAATTTTATTACTATTCTTTATGTGTTTGTTTGCTTTCTAAGGAGGGAGGGAGAGCCAGAGACAGAGAGACAGAGACAGAAGATTCAGATGGGAGGGAAAGTGGGAAGAACCTCAGAGAAGTTAGGGGAGAATAAATTACAGTCAAGATTATGAGAAATAAAATTTTCAATATTAAAAAAAAAACAGGGGAAAATTAGAAATCTTCAGGAGTGAAAAATAAAGACTAAATAAAACCGCTCTGAAAACAAGTGCATAGCAGCATTTTTGTAGAAGGTAGCTGAATCTAGTGGCAAGAAAGAGATTTGCTACCCTGAGAAACTAGGCATGTGGCATTTCTTTGATAGGCTGGAATTATAAAATTGGTTAAGGTCCAGATGCATCATATCCAGGTGGCAGTTCAGTCTGTCCCCCTGCATATTCAGAGTTGGTCTTGTTTCCAGCTTTCCCCTGCTTGAGACTCTTCCTAGGACTTTCGACTCTCTATAACTGGCAAGCT